GTGACAGACGCGAGTGCTGTCGCGTGTGTAGCCTCTGTGCTTATTTTTTTTCGTTACTGCATTCTTCATGCTTTCTCTATAAATTCCCACTTTATGCTATTGAGAGAAATACTTTTGTGCGTAATTTCTTTTTCTCCGAACTCCGTCTCACCACGAGATAAATTTTTCGCCGCGTCATTACGGCGCGCATGAAGTACAAGCGAATGCAATTTAGCGGCGGATGACGTCGCGGCTAAAATTTTTTCCCCGGCCATTGATTTCTCGGGATCTCTCGAATCTCTCCCCACAACACAGGAATCAGATTATGTTGCTCTCCGTAAAATTTCTAGGAAATCTCACTTTACAGCTCCGCCGCTGTTCACGGCTTTTCTCGTTTAAGTAAAGGATCTTCCCTTTTCTTCGAGAGAGAGAGAGAGAGAGAGAGAAAGAGAAAGAGGATTCCTTCTTTTAATCCCTGTTGCTCCGTAACTGCATGGAGAAACGGCGGAATTAAGTCGCGAGAGTTTTATTCTCGTTCATTCTGTTGTTCTCTCCGCTTTCTCACGTTGTTGTTCGGCTCCCGTTTCTAATCTCGTTCGTTGATAACATCTGCATTAGTCACGTCGTTACGTAAGCATCTCGAGATTTGGGACTGTGTACTTTCGCGCGAGAATTATCGGAAGTGTTTCGCTCATAGCAACACATTATTTCAGAGTGCCCAGGTTTAGATCGTGGTCTTATTTTAATCTTCTCCGGTGCGCGCGAAATTCTCACTCCCGATTCTTGCGATCGAATTTCGGCGAAATAAAGTTCGCCGACAATGTGTTTCGACAAACCGGGGAATTCGCCATTTCTAGCGTACTTCGCTCCGTCACAATTTGCACACAATGCGCGCCTAAAAAAAAAAAAAAAAAAAAAACGACGTTTTCACAGTATCATCGCTCACAGAATCTCAGATGTCTGGGAACTTGGCGTTTCTTCCACGAACGAGAATATCAGATTTCACAAGTTCTCATGAATTGGAAATGACTTTTGGAAGTCTGACGTATTTTTTTTTTTTTTTTTTTTTATGCGAAGAGACCTATCGATACATACAGAGAGATTCTAAAGATATTTGCGTCACGCAGACAGATCAGGTTCATCACGATGCTTGATCAGTACGCCACTAAACAACTGATGTCATCGTTATTAATACAATACTTTACGCACGGCATTACCTCTGTCGCTCTCTTGCTTATTTATTCGCGAGAAAACGTCCTGTATCTCGTAAAAATAATCGATGTGATTAACAAGAGTTTGTTAAAATATTACCATTTTAACTTGCTTTTATAGTCTTGCAATGTATTTTACATATTTATATTTCAATTTTCGGCCTTTGCGTCGCCGAAGAATGGAAATATGTTTCGCTAATTTTAACCATTTTCAACGTGCTTCTGAAATTTTCAGTGAAATTTTTTTCTACTCGAAAAAAGCCAGGAAATTTGCCGCGAATGTTTTTATTGTTTATTAAAAAAATTAAACGAACTGATGGAAAAAGTCAAGTGCAGAAAGCTGCAGAAAATGTACGACACTTTGTTCACATTTTCAACGTCTCTTTAAGAAGTTTTTAGTGAATTCTTTTCTACTCGAAAAAAAATTCATTGAAATTTGCAGAGAAGTTTTTTTTATTGATTGACATTGTTCATTCGAAAATTAAATAGAACAAATTGACGATAAGAAGAAGTTTGAATACAAGAATCTGAAGTACGATACGCTTACGCATTCCCGATATGTCTCTCAACAACCTGCTCGAATTCCACGTTGCTCATATCTCTTGTTCGACTTCGAGTGAAGAAATAAAACTGATCGGACGGTCGTCGAACTTGACGTCGAACGTGACTCATCAGTCTTGTTGATTGTCGCGGAGGAACGCTATTCTGTGAGCGCCGCGGTCCATTTCCCGATATTTACGAGCGGCTCTTAATGAGAGGCGGAACTTCAAGACGCGTCTATAATCGATAATGATTGAACCGTCTACGCTCGCGATAAGAACCAGAAATGCCTCGCACTTTACGTCCAAGTGTACTCGCGATTCTCGTCGGGAGATAATAATTCTTTTAAAGTGTCCATATAATTGCGTAGAGTGTAATTTGCATTGTATAATTTCGCTTTGCGACACGATCTCAACGTACGTATCTGTTTTTTTTCTCTTACGAGATTTTGTTTAACTTAAAATTCTAGCATTTTTACTCGAGCATACATATTTACATTTTTGCGGAAAATATTTAAAATCGTTCTTCCATCTTTCCGCGTAAGTCTTCGTTTAGTCTCTGCACGGTATGCTAATTTCGTTTCTATGATCCGTTCTTGATTCTTGCGTTGCAACAGGCGTGTGTTGCAACTTCGGCAATTGCGATAATAAATACTGCGCAATCCCACCACGGTTTAATCTACAATCTTTTCTGTGTGCCTCGAAACTATTAATTATATTACATCTCTTAGAAACAAAACGAGAATTCTTATTATGGAACGCTTTTAATTCCGAGCGCAAAGAATCGCGTTTTGTGTCCGCGTTGTTTTACTCGAGAATTTAATTAATCAGAAGATTTGAATTTTCGATAGCTGTAGTGCTAATAAAAACTGTTATTTTAATCATAATATATATAATTTTATTTAATTTGTATGTATATTACAAAAAAAAATAGTTTGCAGAAGACTGAATAATAGTTTGCAAAATCCATCGAAGAGCAAACGAACGATAACGCTTACAGCGCAAATAATTAAGGAAGGATGTGTGTGATAAGTAACAAAGTCAACTCGTAAAAACGTAGAAATCTCACAAACTGTTCTTCCGTGTCCAGCACGTTCTTCCTATTTATTAACACGAGGATGTCTTCTCGCGAGCGTCTTTGTTGAAAAATCTTCGCGATAGCGAATCTGAACTTCGCTATCGTAAAACTTGTAATCGCAATAAAAAAGTGTATCTATATATATATATATATATATATATATGTGTGTATATACCACTTGTTATCTATAAAACCGGATTATCTGTAAAGCTGCTAAAAACACCAAGCATTTTCTTATCTCGACAGTTTCAGATTATTATCGATTGTCTCGTCGATGCGATTGTTTCTCTTTGTTGTTTCTTTGTTGTTTTTATATCGAGTTTTTATATTTGTTTAAACTTCTTGAACATTCTTTTGCACAACATAAAATTGTTCGCAATAAAGTAAGTAATCGAAAGAGATAACATCGCGCCAAGACTAGGTAATCGTGAGAACACGCACGTAATGTTACACGCACTTGTGCCATACACGTTCTGCAATAAAAATTTTTTATATACGCGGTTGCATCGCGCGCAGTAAAAAAAATATCCGACGCAGTATCCGCCACTTGTGTCGATTCATAGGTGTAATAGCGGGCGCGCCTTCGCGAAAGCCGCGTTCTTTTTCTTTTTTTTCACGGCACATTATTGTTATTCCTACGCTATCGCGTGGCGCGTCCTGTGTGTACGTGAAACACGTGTGTTACCTAACCGCAGGTGTTCTATGCTCTTTGTTATTCCATAACGGTGTTATTAATTAATGTCGGTTCGATTTAAATGTGCGTTTTTGCATCTTTAATTAATAAAAAAATTTTCATTTCATATAAATCATTATAACGCCTTGCTTGCGAAGACTATCGCGCCGCGCTGTTGATAAACGTTTTATTTTCGAATATCGATGTTACGAATTTTCTCTTGTCATGTGCGCCATCACACTTTTACATTTTCGCGAATTTGTTACAGAAACCTCGTTACATGTCTCTTGATATCTCCGGAAGTAATCGGCAATTACAAATAGAAATGGAAGTAATATTAACCCCTCGGGTTGATATTTCACTTAATTAAAATTCAAATAACGAAGAGAAATGTCATTTTAATCGATTCAGATCCCATTCTTGTAGCATAATTAAGGATTATTTTTCTGCAAAACTTGTTTAAATGGAAGGAGCGAGAGAGGAAGAGAAAAGAGAAAAAGATTGATATTATCGAAGTTAATGAAAAGCTTTTCTTGTATACCTAAGGGTTAATTCTCCATTCTTCTCTTTCGCAAAGTTAAAGAAAGAAGTAACTGACTTTTCTTCTCATTATATACTCAAAGAGCGTATTATGAAGCACCAGATATATATCTCGTATAAATGAGGATAGAAGAAAAGTAAGATCTCGAAAAGAGTGCGGGTGACTCGCGGCGTTGCATCAGATTTTCCTCTCGTCAAGGACGTTCTCCGAACGTCGATTCTCATCCCGACTTCCGGTTCGTCTTGCACCGACCGCTGTTAACGGTCGTTGGGAAAAAAATGGGGTGCAATTAACGAGGTCGACTGCTCCCTTCGACGCTGATGCGTCGCTCTCTTCCGTGTCGCGTTTGTTGTTACATCCGCCTCCGATGTGCGGCTTTCCGCGCGGCTCAAATCGTCCGAAATTACGTCCGATTTTATTACTCAGCGCTCTCACGCAAGCGCTGTTTATCGTTAATTGACGAGTATTTATTGGCCACGAGGATTATATTTTTTCTCCGACGAAGAGAGACAATCGCAACATTTTCTTCGCTCGTAAACTCGGTGCAAAAAGATCCAACGCGTATACGCACCTACGTCAACGATGAACTTTGCATGCCGCATACATTATTTCGTGAGATACGTCTATCTGCTTTACCGCCCACATTTATATAGCCTTTCTTGTGCTGTTTGCGACCACAGAGCTATTTTGAATAATTTGTGCCGGGGCACGTTTTGAATTATTGAAGTCAAATGAATTTGCTTCCTGTGTTATAAATTATATTCGTAAACGTTTTATAGAGAAAAAAAATTAACATCCTATATTGTTATTATCGTTATTACATTTATTATAACTTTTTTAATAAAAAAATTATATTTATATATAATTATCACATTTCTTATATTTTTAAAATAAAAAACAAATATTAGTAGATATTATATTTAATAATATTATATGTGTGCGTTACACAATATGCGAGATGTGTGCTTCCTTTCGGTAGCTTATCGGAGAGGAGCGGGAGCATTCACGACGGTTTTGGCAACTACACGGCAGACGTCAAGTGCTCCTGGCTAATCGAGAGCCAGCCAAACACCAAGATACGGATGCACATAGAGCAGTTCGCGACGGAATGCGGCTGGGACCATTTGTACATCTACGACGGCGACAGCGTCGAGGCGCCGCTACTGGCCGTCTTCTCCGGCCTGATGCACGAGAACAACTATCACGTGCGCCGCGTGCCGGAAGTGACAGCAAAATCCGGCAGCGCCCTGCTGCACTTTTATTCCGATGTCGCGTACAACATGAGCGGCTTCAACATCACCTACAAGATCAACGCCTGTCCGAGCAAGTGAGGCTTGATTGTTATCGGTTTGAGTAATAATATATGAGTAACTTTTATTGATAAGAGAGACAACAAAAGAAGAAGCGTGTTCCACTTTTTTATAAACTGAATTATTACTATTGATTTTGTTAAAAATGGCTTGTATTATTGGAACCATTATTTTACCTCCCCCCCCCCCCCAAAAAAAAATGGAGATCTTATGTGCGCAAGAACGGCCTTGCTTGGCAAGGTGGCGGTCAATTTGAAGAAGCGTAATAAAAGATTACAAGCTGTTATTTTACAATCAGGTCACTCCCGGCTTAGGAAACTTTATCGAGCTTCTACTGTCTGCCGGAAATACGCGTAATTCTGTGTCACGTTTGATAACGTCACCTGCGGTCAGAAGACGATCAGCTGTCCGTGACGCAAAAATCGCTCTTGGGTTTCTTCTCGTCCCACGGGACGAGCGGCGGACAATTTAAGTCGAGATATCGACTTAAATGTCTCTGAAACGAAACGATTATGATTTCTTTGTTGTTCAAAGCTCTGGCTTTTTTTCCATCTTGTATTCTCTTAAAATCTGTGATTTCCGTTTTATTGGGGGAAAAAAAAACCTATCAAACTAAAACACACTTTACTGCACTGCTTCTCGCACATTTTTCGTTTTGATATTAAAAAATAAAGTCGTTTACTGGAAAAATATTATTAAAAAGGCAAACATTTTCTCTTTGTGGTATCGATTAAATATCGTACAAAAGAATATATAGATATATTTGCTGATCGATAACACCGGAGATCATTACGGGTGGCGTCTTCAAGCGGTCTTGGCTCAAAGCCAAGATTGGTTCAAACGTTATCTACATTAGTCGTGATTTTACATTAGATTTGATTATTTATTATTTTATTTATTACATTTGTTATTAAGAATACCGGCGGGTCATGGCTAAAATTAAAGTCGCATTTAATTTGTTTATTTTGCACTTTTTTTTTAAGTATGTTTATTTTTTTGGAAGTCAGTTTGATACAAGGCATCCGTATGTTGATTGAACACGTGCATATTGTATACACGCGTTTAAGTTTCGCGTTGTTTTCAGTTCCTCCGACACAGACTGTTCTGGTCACGGCGTGTGTATCGACGGCACGTGTACCTGCAACGCGTGGTGGACCGGTGAGGCCTGCGACGTGGAAGTATGCCCGAACAATTGTTCGAAGCATCTTGAACAAGGCGAGTGCAATCCAGAGAGCCATCGATGCAAATGCAATCGTGAATACAGAGGTAAAGAGACAACGAGAAAATCACAAGTCAGTCGGGTGATTTGAGAGAGAAAGATATTTAATTTTTATTTGTTTTAGTACGGCAATATCTTATTACACAATCAATTGATACGATGATATCTGATGTTCAAGTTTAACGTTACCACAGCGTATTATCCATCACAGTTATGATAATATAACTAGTTTTCGCGTGGTCGCGCGAAAAAGTGAGACATATTTTTTTTTTACGCTTGATGCAAATGTTACCAACATATTTAAATTTTATTTGTCAATTTTTTACTCTTAAATAATTGATGTTGTAACAACAATAGAAAAAAAAGAATAATTTATCGTGATATTACGCTTTCAAAATTGAATACATAAAGTTTGCAAATATTGATGAATATAATATAGCACGCAATAATTATTGCAATTAAAAGTAATTATATAAATAATTAAAAAAGGCTAAATAGAACAAGGTAAAAGTTACTTACCGCGTGTGTTTTCTAGGCGCGGACTGCAGCCAAAGGAGCGACCACGGATTTTGGGAAACTGTTACGTATAACGGTCTGGCGCCAAACGGCTCGGCCAGTCACTGCTCCATCGTCTGGAAGGACTCGCTGTACGTGGTCGGCGGCGAGAGTTTCCATCGCGCCAAGATGATATACTTTTACGATTTCAACGGTAACGTGTGGGAGACGGCTCACGTCGACGGTCGTGCGCCATTGCCGCGTTACGCGCACTCGTGCGTGCTGTTTGGCGACAAGATATTCGTGTACGGCGGCGTTGAGCAAAACTCGACCGTGACAAACGAGATCTGGGCCTTCGACATATCCACCAAGGTCTGGGAGAACGTCACCGTGCACGACGACTGCCACAACAAGACTATCTGTGGTCCACTGAAGGTGCGCGAAATTCGTTCAAACAATATCAAAGAAACAATGTAATTTAAAATTAAATCGAATATCGACAATTAATTGGTACGTAACTTCCGTAAAATTTAGATAGAACTGTCTTTCTCTTTAAACTTGAGAACTTAAATTCGATTTTTTAACTGCTCTAATTGTCTGTCAACTGTTACACGATTAACGAGTTGTTTCTACAGGTAGCCGGACACACTGCGACTCTGGTGCAGACAAAGAACAAAAAGGAGAAGATGGTTGTGATATTTGGCTATTCGCCGCAGTATGGTTACTTAAACACCGTCCAGGAGTACTCGTTGAGTACGCGCGAGTGGCAGATCGTTCAGACGAGCGGTTTTCCGGTGAAAGGCGGCTACGGCCACAGCGCCGCCTACGATACGCACACGAATCTCATCTACGTGTATGGCGGTTACGTGTCGGAGTCGCAGAGCTCGAATTTGCTGACCAGCCGGCTGTACTCGTACGACCCAAATGAGAGCAGATGGCGTTTACTCACGTCAGCGCCGTCGGCGCGTTTCTTTCACACGGCGGCCTTTGTCACGGGCGGACTGATGCTGGTGTTCGGTGGCAACATGCACAACGACACGCAGGAATCGCACGGTGCGCGATGCTACTCGGCCGATACGCTGGGTTACGACGTCACGTGCGACACGTGGCATCACTACACCATGCCAGACATGAACGATCTTCCGCGATACGGTCACAGCGCGACAGTCTTTAGGAACGACTCCGGTGTATCGATGTATATCTACGGCGGCTTCGACGGCGAGATGCTCTCTGATATGTTAAGGTGCGACTCGACTACAATTTATAGATTTTGTTTTATGAAGAAGCTAATTCTGTAAGATGTTTTTGAGTTCCTATTATTGCGCAGGTATACCCCGGGTAACTGCGAGAATATAACGAATCAGAATCAGTGCCTGAACGCGCGGATAGGCCTGAAGTGTGTGTGGCACACGCGGGAAGAACGTTGCCTGCACATCACGAAGATATCGCATCACGAAAAGGAACACGACAACGAACACGACAGTTCTTACATGAAATGCCCTCCTTACGACACGCCCCCACGTGGTATGACGTCGCACGAGGAGCTCTGCAAGCTCTTCACCGATTGCGTCGCGTGCTTGCAGACCTCGTACAATTGCGTGTGGTGCGGCAAGAGTTGTCTGCACGAAAAGTGTCGGGACCATCCGAATTCGCCAAACTCGAGACCCATCACAGAGCTGAACAATTGTGACAAGAACACCGGCATCGAGTGCTTGCAGTTGCACACGTGTCACGCCTGCTCCAGCAATCCCCGCTGCATTTGGTCGTGGTCCAACGGACCCGATCGCTGTAAGCCGCACTCGAAAACACGAGAGGTGCGTGTGAGCGCGAGTGCATTTTGATTACATATACATAGCGTGGCTGAAGTAAATATTAAATATTTAAAACCATGTGTTTTTTAATTGATGTATGTTTGCAATCTTGCGATTTTTCACATCAGGTGAGCATATTAAATGGTACAATCCAAGCGCAGCGTTTGACGGTGGATACGTGTCGCAGTCCGTGCGTCGAGTACACGTCGTGCCGCAACTGCACGGAATCCGATTGCATTTGGTGTCAGAACGAATCCAAATGCGTAGACAAGAACGCGTATCCGGCCAGCTTCCCGTATGGACAGTGTCGCGAATGGACGGCGATGGACGAACGATGCCACGCCACGGAGACCGGCAGGGAATGGTGCAGCTTCTACGCGTCGTGCTCCGCCTGCCGATCGGATCCCGGATGCGGTTGGTGCGACGACGGATCGGGCACCGGAAAAGGTTTGTGCCTGCCCGGCGGTGCCCGCGGTCCCAGCAGCAGGAGCTCGATCACGTGCCCATCGGATCAATGGTACTTCACCAAATGTCCGAGTAAGCGAAGTTTTGCCCCAGACTTTCTCCTTTTGTTGTTTGTATCATATCTTTTACGTAGTTACATCTCGCTGTTGTTAAGTCCAGATTTTATTCATTCTTCGCAGTTTGTCAGTGTAACGGTCACAGTACTTGTGTTCCAAATACCAGTCTCTGTATGCAACCGTGCAAGAACAACTTGACTTACGGACCGCATTGTGACAAGTGTAAGCCCGGTTATTACGGTAGCCCGCTCAACGGAGGGACCTGTCAGCGTAAGTAATCTTTATTTTTTTGCTCTCACGTGTAATTTAGTATCATTTGTACCATTGCACCGCGAACGAAAGGAATATAATTGATTGATTTTTTATACCCGACTATTACAGCTTGTTCCTGTAACAATCAAGGCACGCAATGCACGAGCGAAACGGGCAAATGTTTTTGCACAACCAAAGGCATTATCGGCGATCATTGCGAGCGATGTGACGTATCCGGCCTATATCACGGAGATCCAACAAACAAAGGATCATGTTTCTGTGAGTTCAATTATATCTGAATCTGAAGTTATTTTTATATCTTCATACTTTTACAACATCTCTTTGTAATTTGAGTCGTTCAAATGTCTCATTTCGCGTATTTTAGACGACCTGGCGATCGATTATCAGTTCACGTTCAATCTGAGCAAGAAGGAGGACCGTCATTACCGGGCGATCAACTTTAAAAATTCACCGCCGAAACCCGAGGTCGATGCCGAGTTCTCCATCACGTGCTCCGTGCTCGCCAAAATGAATGTCACCATTAAGAAGGCAAATAGCCCGGAAATACCGTTGCTGCTGGCCGCGAATTGCACAACGAGCATGTACAAACAACGCTTCAGCAAAGCGGAACACAACTTCGGCAGCGAGGACAACAACACGTTAACCACATTCTACGTATATGTTTACGACTTCCAGCCGCCTCTCTGGATTCAGATCTCGTTCTCGCAGTACTCCAAACTAAACCTGCAACAGTTTTTTGTTACATTCTGCACGTGAGTATCACAAGTTGGACTTCGGGACGGTTCTTGATTCTAAAAGTAAAGTTAGTTCCGGTTATGTCTTTTATTAGATTCGAATAAGCGCTTTTTGAAAAATTAGAATTTTGAGAAATGAGACACACTCTTATTCGCTCTTCAGTACGCTTGATTTTTTCCAAATTTTCCATGCTCCTTCCATTGTGCTGACCCTCAGGCAGTACTTATTTGTAAATTAGAGATAACATGACACCGCACAGGTGCTTCCTCGCTCTGTTGCTGGTGGCCGCCATCATTTGGAAGCTTAAGCAGAGATACGACATGTATCGACGGAGACAACGACTCTTCTTGGAGATGGAGCAGATGGCCAGTAGAGCCTTTAGCCGAGTTTTAGTGGAGATTGAGAGGCGCGACATCGAGAACTCGGAATCGGATAACGATCTCACTGATTGCTCCAAAAACAAGAAGGTACGTATCCGGATATCTTTTCTTAAAAAACTTTCGATCCTTCGCAGTCTAAGTCTCTTAGGCTCAACTTATGAGGCTTATTTTTTTTATTCGTAGAATATCCCTCCTAGTCCGATCGCGTTGGAGCCTTGTAGCGGCAATCGGGCGGCGGTCATATCTCTGTTAGTCAGATTACCGACTGGCGGCGAGCCTTACACGCCAGCCGGGCAGAGCGCTGGCCTGGCCGTTGCGTCCGCACTAGTCACGTTGGGCAGCCAGCGCAAGCCATCTTTGGAACTGGCAACAAAAGAGCCGAAGAAGTCGCGGAAGTCTGTCTGCCAGCATCCGGATTCCACTTGCATTTAGCAGTAAAAAAAATAAAAAAACAAAAAAAAAACAAAAAAAAAAACAAAAAAAAACAAAAAAACCCAAGCGACGCCAGAAGGAGAGATTGCGACGGGATGCGACGTGATAAACTTTAATAGAGTTGTTTGCTGTGATCTTGCCCGTGCTTACTACGGCAGAACTATTTTATTTCATTACTCTAACAAAGTGCGACAAAATGCGAGACGATGCGACCGCGTTGAGATCGAAAAAGACACAGGCGAGAAAGAGAAACCGTTGTAGACGCGTGTTCGATCGGAAACGTTTTAAAAATGCCACATGTAAAACTGTACATGACGCGGCGACATTTGTCGCCGAACGGAAGGAGATAACTTCTCAGCCGCCAATCGTGGTAAGTAACGCTCTGTTTGAACTTTTGAGAACTTGAGCTTTACGTATCTTTTTCGCGCCAAAAAGGACGTTAACGAATTCGGCTGAATCTCGTGCTCCCTTCGCAGATCTTGATTGACACGCTGTACAGTGTTGTACATATAGACAATTAGATATACAGTTTTTCTCGAAAAAGTTAAGATGTATCGGATAAACTGGCCTCGTGCATATTCGAAAAGCTTTTATCCGCTGCTTTTCTTTTCTAGAGAAAAGAACGCATATCTTCGAATTAAAAGATTTAGATAAGTAAGACTCTCACATTCGTGCGTCTAAACTTCTGCGTTGGAAAGACTAAATATCGCGCTCCTTTGGAAGTATTTTTTCTTTTTTTTTTTTTTTTCTTTTTTACGTGTCTTGATCGTTTTTTCGAGGCACAACTTTCCTGCGCAGCGGATAGAAGCTCGCGTAAATGCCATATAAGAGTTATTCAAGAGAAAATCTATTAATTTTAATTATCGAAACAATTGAATTCTCGAAGGAGTACAACGCTTCGACGTAAGCTGTAAATAGGCTGTATTTTTGTCGGATTCGAAACAAAAATGCGGATCGTTAATAGCGAAGAAAGACGACGAAAAGTAAGTTCGAGAGGAGAAATTCGCTATTTGTGCACTCGTTCGTTAAGAAATTGTGCATAAAATTCATATTCTAAATCGGTGTCGAGCGGAGATAAACATCGCAACCAATGCAGATTTTGAAGAAGGTACAAATCGTGTATTTTCGATTTTTGCATTTTTGCATCAAGATACTGTGCCAAAATCAGCGAGTTATTTTTTCTTGATTAATCGTCGTGTGACCATTTTCGGTGAAGAACCGGAATCCGTTCGAACGGAAGCAACTCTCTCACGTGATTCGTTATTTCACTTTCGCTGCAACTAAAATTAATGATTGAGACATTCAATTAGTTACAAACATTTCTCGCTGAGATAGAAACTTGAGAAATTTCGAAGAACTTGTTGTCACATTTCAAGTTTGAGAAGAAAAAAAATCGTCGCGTGCGGTTGCAACAAGTACCTCTCATTCACAAGAGTTTATTTCTACGTTTTACGGGACGAGCGAGCGACGCATGATCGTGTCGCGCATTGATTGCACGTGTGACTGTCTTTCCGAGCATTTAATTGACGCAAGATATTTTTACGTTTTTTTTCTTTTTAAATTCACGAGGCTCCGCTTGTGTTAGTTTAGCCGTAATTCTCGTATTTTATATCTTGTTATTATCGGGATACATTTAAATTATATCATTAAGAAAAATCGCGCATACTTCCATTTTTTTATACATCGAATTTGTACTTGTTCCGATTTTCGTACAACTTCGTTAACGCGGATTGCGACGATAGCGACTGTCGTTCAGAACCTCATGTTCATTGTGAAACATATTTGTAAGAATTGGCACGGTCGTTTCTTTCCCACGATAATACCAGAGAAAAAGAGAATCATTTTCTCAAGACTCATACGTACATACATGTTTAGATTACGTTACTCCTACGAAATATGTTTAATCTGTGTTACGTTTCTGGTTACGCTTCTCTTTTTCTTTTTTTTTTTTTTTTTTATTATGAATGTATAATGTACATACTTAATTTATATATCCTGCGTTGGTGCGTTGAGAGAGGAGGGGAGATGAGTAGATAATATACTTTGCAAACGAGAGAATTATTATATTACTCGGATTGTGACGTAAGTGCATTTCTGTTTTGACATTTAATACTCATACGTTTTCTCCTATCTTTAAAAAATCTATACTAATTTATATATTATAAAAAAGACGTGGTCAGAGAGAGATAGATATATTTACATATATAACTTTTATATAAAACTTATATATGTAAATAATCCATATATACATATAGATATATAAAACATATATAGATATAATATATTTATAAAAAAATAAATATATTATATATATTGATAATATAAATTAGAATCCCTCCCTTGTAAGCGATGACACGCGCGTTCTATCTCAAATATATTTTTCGTACCAAAGAAAGCTCTATAGATGTGAATAAATCGTTATTGCGCACGTATAGAGAACTAGATAGCACTTGAGAGATAATCAATCGATTTATTATGTATAACAATTAGGAATAAAAAAAAAAAAAAAAAAAATCGTAACATGTACTGGCCGCGTCTGCAAAATGGTCGTTTTTCGTCGAACGGTAACACACACATGTATTTGACTTATATCTGTTGCCGAAAAAACAACTTTATGTTTTTTGATACAAACAGCTTTAGTATTTCGAGTAGCCGAATACTACTAGTTCTCATTCTCAAGAGACAATTGCGGTGACTCTTCTCTTATGAGCGCCAAATACAAATCTATTGTTTATTAAAGTATATATTTTATTGAATATATTATATTGTAATATTTTTTATGATTTTGTATTAAAAAAAAAAAAAAAAAAAAAACGAACAAATACGCTTTTGATCCTTTTGTTGCCACGGATGCGCGCGCGCCTGATTTTAAGTCGCGAGCGCGTGCACGTAATTAGCCATATCCGCGACGTGTTGCTAGTCTGACGAATACTGATCAAATGATTAAAATTGAGAAATGTGGAAATATATCGAATCTCGACAACGAAGGGATCGAGATCGCGAGAGTTCGGAAATATTGTTTGTTTAGAGTAAATTTTTATATTAGTGAAAAGAAAATGAACATGCACTCTGTCATTTATATAATTTTAGACGTAGCGCTTTGATTTCGATGTCGCATGGATATCGAGTGTTATCTTTAAGTGTTGGTTTTGAATCTTCAGCGGACGACCGCTCCACCGGCGCTCATAAATTTTCTTCGCCCCCATATACACTTAGGCACTACACTTGAGAGTCTTACTATCGGAGCGAGAATCCGCTCTCTCTCTCTCTCTCTCTCTCTCGGAGAAGTAAAATTCTCAAACAAACGTTCCTTTAAGAATAAATTGACGAGAAGAAGACGTTTGAAAATCACCTGGTTCGATTTCACGCTAGCCTCTCGAAAGATAAAACTCTCAAATGTAAACACCTTAGCTTTCGACTTTCTATCATACACCGTAACACTGCCAATGTAATATTCCTCCACTTTGTTGATCTTTTACACTGCTTCGTCTTCGACATCCCGAGACGACGGCCTCGTTTGCCGGTCGATCTCTGCGACTGATAAACACGTACGAATACCATCGATACTTTGCAATCTCTTCTTATCTCTGTCTCTCTGTCTCTCTCTCTCTCTTTCTCACTCTCTCTCTGTCCCTCTCTTTTCAACGAAGATCGCGCGCCACGACATTGTTTGCGATCGTGACGGGACGGCAACGTTGTTTTCAAAAGGCTAAAGTAATGTTTAAGTATTGAATAGTAGAGTAACGTAATATATGCACCTGTTCACTTTCCTCGTCTTTACTTATCTGACAATACTGAGAAAACATTTTCTAGATTTCTATTCACCCTTTTCTGTATCTTCCAATTTTCTGTTCAAACTAGCCTAATTTTATAAATGTAATATCAGATAGTTGTTCAATTTACAGAACACTCAGAGGCAACATTTGTTGTTTATTTTATGCATTTATTGTGACAACCAGATTTGTATACGTAGTGTGTATGTAGTTTTATATATACGTATCAAGGAAAATGAAAAATAAGTTTTTTGTTAAATAAGTTGAGGCGACAAAATAAATAAACTACGACAGAATTCTTCGGATACATTCGAAAGTAGTGGAATGTACATATGATATAATTAATACTGCACAATTATGTAGGGAATCTCGCATTAGAACTAAAGTGATAAAGAATTGAAACCAAATTTGCACACACACAGTCGTGCTGTGAACGGTCGGATTGCTCAATCGGATCCGCTCTTGTGCGCTAATTGCGACCGTTAACTTCCGGTAAGGTAAGTGCGTCTTGTCACGATCCAAACAAAATTCTTCCATTTTCTTTCTTCAAATTCGGAAGAAAGAAAAGGAGAGATTTTTCCCTCCTTTCCCCAAAGTATTCAAAGGGGATATTCAGTCATATAATTTTTCTAATTAAACGAAATTTCTAGGTTCTTGAGTTGCGTAAAAAAAAAAAAAAAAAAAAAAAAAAAAAAAAAAAAAAAATACATCTTAGAGTCGGAGAACGCGCGCACGCGTTGATGTAAAATATATCCATTTCTATGGATAAAATTCAAGTCACCAATCGTAGTTAAGAATTCTTAAGCGTCGCGTTTTTGTTTTCTGTGCACACAGAATGCATCAAGTGCAGGATATATACGACTGAGGTTCGAATTTACAGGACAAAAGGAACTCTGTCGATTTTTCTCATATCGATATCAGACAAACGGGCGTGCGAGAAGAATACTTAATAATCTAAGTAGATAAGAACACACACACAGACGACATGTATATTATACACATGCTTGCAACAATTTTTCTAGAACATAAAAAAATCTCAAGATTTATTTTTATTCGTAAAAAAGCGTAAGACAAACTACTCGACGAAAGCCTGTCAAGTCAATGAATGACCGAACGACTTCAATTTCTCGGCTTGTGAGAAACACAAATGCGAATATAGCGAGACCCGATCGCATTGTACAGTGTAAAGTTTGACACTATCGCATCGGTTTCTTTTGCGAAGAGGATACTACATATCGTCGCCTCGTCATCGGCTGATATTTGTATCGATGATTGCGCACATCGTGTGTTACAAATTACTTTTTTTATATATATATTAAATTTATGTATTTAAATATATTGTATACAAAAACTATTGTTATATTTTATATTACACCGCGTGTGTTAGAACGAGATCTATATTTGAGAGTTCGAAGTAAATTGTATAAATATGTTATATAATTAAATTTATATAAATATGTATATATAAAATATATATATTTTTTATTTAAATTTCTATATAGATTGTATTACAACAAAATGTTTCAATCACAAACGCGAATTATGTCGCAGTAAAACTTTATCGGATTAGAATGAACATTTAAGTGTATCCGATACGCGTGTGCGCATCTCATCGTCGATATGACATGTACAGTATGTTGAAGTCTCGAAAGTTAAGGAAACGATACAGTGAAAAGAAGGAATACACGAATATATATACATAAATATTAACGAATCGCCCTTAGCGCATGTGCATCGAATTAAATCTTATGTAAATGATCGCAATTTCATATTATGCACATACGATTTATCGATCTAGTCTATGAAAGATTGAGCGTGTTTGCGTGCGAATATAGATGGTTATATTATATCGGCGAGATATCTTTTTCGCATGATTCACGAAATGTGCAATTAGTGCGAATTTGCAATGAATTGATTCGAGAAATTTTTACATTTTTTAAAAAATATTTTAAGATTGTTTCTTTTGTTTTATTCTTGGTTAGAGTTAGGTTAGTAACTTGGAGAGCTTTACTTTTTGACAGTAAAATTTACAACAAGCATATAGAAAACAACAATTATAAATTTCATAATGTAAATAATAAAACAAATCGCATAAAGATAGTTGAAGATTATTTAAGAATTTATAATAATTAAAACGTACATTTTAGAGTGACTCGTTGTGACTCTAATACTGTCGAAATAGCAAAATTGTTTTCCAGCTAGCTAAAGATTCAATCACAGTAGATGTTTCACTCGATGATTTTGCTCTCCCTCGAATTTTCACCGCGACGTGTTATCGCAAAATACGTGAATTTGTCACCGATTGATTTATAATGTTAACTGTTTTATATATTTTTTTTTTTTACACATCATGATGTATAACATTAGTTACGTGCGAGAGGTTTCGATTTAATTTATTTGCGCCGCCATCACTCTTTGCTCGCGCATATGATTATAACATGATTCGTAAAAAATCACGATTTCGCGTGGTTTGCGAAGAAAACCGCGCGATATGTACATACGTACATTACATGCATTACAAACAAAAGTCACGTAGTGGTCGAGAGAATTGAAAACAATTCAGGCCATTAAAAGAAAGAGTTCTGGCAAATGATAGTTTTCCTAGAAAACATACCATGAAAATGAAGAAAAGAAGTGAAAGTGAAAATATAAGTATACAAGAGAGAGAGAGAAAATGTGTAACCAGTGTGTATGTATGCATGTGTGCGCGCGCGCGCATGTGCATGCGCGTGTGTGTGAATACGTGAGAATGCGAATGCGAGAGATGCTTGTGTTTTTGTGTGTGTTAGAAGTTAGAATGCAAAGAATGTAAAGACTCACAATGAATGACGCGTGAGAGTATGAGAACAGAAGAGAATCGTACATATTGTATAATATTAAATGAAAAAAGACAGATATTGTTTAAATAAAATTGATATACATAAACTTGACGCGCGTGTGTGTAGCTATTTTATTTTACTAATGAACGTCGCGTTCCACGTCAGATTTGGATCGTGAGAGTTTGACTTCCCTTCTGTTTCACACGTCGTGCACCTTGATCCGAAACTACGTGTTTCCGACCTCTACCTTTCCTACATCTCTTTTTTTTTTTTTTAAATTTTTTCTTTATTATTTATTTTTTTATTTTTTGTTGTTGTTAGAACCTAAAGCTATTAACTTCTGACAGAGTTCTTTAAATTCGTTTCTAACAACACATTAAAACTGTATTACTTTCCATATTGATTATATTGTAATAATTAACATAGATGTATTAACGTAAGATATATCAGACGTATCCCTACACACAGTACCAAAGGCATCCCGAAAAATCATTTACAAAATTTCAAATGGGTTAGGCTCTAATCTAACCTAACTTAATTAGGGCCTAACGGACAGTTAGAACCTAACAGATAAAAAGAAGCTATCAGG